CAAGCACGAATGGGCAGGGGAGAGAGAGGAGAGGAAGGAGGATGGCAAGAGAGATGGGACAAAAAGGACCAGGGACCCAGGGGAGGAGAAGAGAGAGGGCAAAGGGCAATGAGAAAGACAGGAAAGACCCAAGAAGACAAAGAAAGAGGGGAGGGAGAAAGGAAGAGAGAATGGAGGGGAGGGAGGAAAAAAAAAAACAGAGAGGGATGGAGAGATCAATTTGTACAAAAAAGAAAAAAAAATAACCGGTAAAGTTGAAGAAACAAAATTGGGCAACCTCCTAGAAATCAGGCTAAGAGGAGGTGCTGAGGTAGACATTGACTAGAACGTTAATGAATTAAAAACACTATTCTGTAATACAGAGCGATCAGACTGGCACTTGTGCTGTCACCACAAAAGACAAGCCACACACACAGACACACGTACACACACAGCCATACACACAAATAATAAACGAACAGAACAACACACACACACACTCACACACACAAACACACACACACACAATACCCAAACCAAAAGGCTTAAGTTTTGCTTGGTCCAGCAGGGCCACAGGGCCCTCAGTGCTATAACTTACATACATTATATATATATTTATCTTTATATATAGGGTGGATGGCATGGTGTACCATCACGGCTTCTTTACCTTACAGAGATCATGCATGACACTATGGAAACAAACGCTATGATACACACCAGGAGGGAAGACCCTGTCTACAAGTGGGCTGCCAAGGCCTAGGGGCGGACTGCACTTGCTGATTGGCAGGCCTCTCACCCCATCTCCCAATCCCCCAGGTTTGCCCAGTGCCCCTCGCTTGGCTTTTTGCCTCCATCTATCTGTCCCACTGTGTAGGGCCAGTCTGGCTGTTTCCGTAAGGGAAAGGGCAGAGGCATTCCAGCCCAGCCAGGAGCATTTCCAGGAAGGAGGAGACAAATGAGAGGGCACGGGTAAAGACTGGCTGAGGAAAATCAACCAACAAGACCCTTGTTTCTTTCCTTTTCTGTCTCATAGCCTCCAGTTCCCACCATTGTGTGACTTGCCAGGGCATTTAGCCACCAGTTTCCTCCATCTCCTCTCCTCTTATGGACAAAGTCCAAGTCCTCTGCCCTCCTTGCTCCCTCCCTCCTAAGATTTCCGATTGGCCCCAGGGCCCTCTCCCCAAACAGATGTACCTATAGCATCCAGAAAGGTACCATATTTACTGGTGAAAAAGAATCGCATTTTTTTTTTCCTACATGGAAAAACTGTTCAGGCACAAAGATTAACTAAGCCCGTGTCGCATCCCTGGATTGTACTGGTTCACTGGGTGTCCCCAACCTCCCAACCCACCCTCGCATCCTCGTATTCATGGCCTCCAGCAAAGCAGCAACGACATTTACTATTTTATATCTCTCTTGCTATATATATATTTCTCTCTCTATATATATTTTTTCTATCCTATATACACATAGGATTTTAATGCTTTGAGTGAATAGGGAAGGAACACAGGACTAGAAGGGGTGATGTCACCAGAAGCATTCGGGGGCTCACCTGCAGAAGCTGGACAAGGCAAAAGGCCCACTAACCCATCTAGGCTTTCCACCATCGGGACGGTTCCCGGTTCCCTGTGCTGGTAAGGCAGTAGTAGCCGGTTGCAATTCTGCAGGGCAATAGCTAAAGGCAGCAGTTACCAGATGGCCTAAAGAACAGAGGAGCAAATACACTCCCTCACCTGTGGGGGGGAGTCACCTCCACCTTCCTGGTCCCCCCAACACCCCCACCCCACCCCATCCTACCTGCCAGGAAAAGCCCGTGTCACCCCAGCCTCCCTCTAGCTTCCTTCTGTCCTTACCTAAAGGCAGGAAGTCGAGGGGAGGGACATGTTAAACTCCATTGGGGTATCTCGGGTTGTAAGGGGGAACATGGTGAATACAGGGGTGCCCCTCCAGTCTAGCTGCCTGCCTCTCCTGCCAGGAGGCTCTGTGGTATCCCCAGGACCAGGTGGGGGCAAGCAGATGCTGAGTTAGTACCATCCAATGCTGAAACATCAGATTCTGAACAACACGGTGTGGTTAACATACACACACACACACACACACACACACACACACAGAGCACACATGTACACATACAAAGAGGGATATTTTGTTGGTGGGGGATGGTGAATTTTTTTGTCTTTTTTTTTTCTTTTCTTCCTATTCACATTACAAAAGAAAAGAGCAAGGACTTACAGAACTGACAGAACACCTGACAAATACTACAAAAATATTACAGTTTGTAGAGATATGCTCAGCCCTCTCAAGCTTTTATGAATGAGAAGAGGGCTGGGCCAGGCTGGGGGTGGGGGGGGGACGGCGCCAGGGACTAGCTAGTTCCATGGAATAGTTCTGAGACTTTCGTTGTTTTTGTTTGTTTCCTCTTCCCTACCCATGTTAAATGACCTCTTGCTGTTAAAAATCTGTTTTTCTGGGATGTACAGATGTCCGAGGGCAGCAAGGGTGTCCCCTCCTTCCCCAGTGCTTACTAAAGATTCTCACGGACTGCCCCTCCCCACGCCAAGTCATTCCTTCCTCCTCACACACCTGACACCTGTCCTACTCATATTAATTCCATTTCTTCTTCCCAACACACGAAGTCATTGTTAGAATTACAAAATAGCCTCTTCCCTACTTCACCATCCCTAATCCAGTCTAGTGACAAGTCCCCCCTCATCCAACACCCCCCCCCCCATACATACAATTTTTAAGGCTTTCAGATTTGGTGGATGAGATTCAAGGGCAGGCCAGGAAGGATGGAGAGAGGTAGTCACAGCAGACCCCCCTCCCTCCCACTTCCCTAGATTCCTCCACTCCAACCATTCCCTTAACCACCTTTAAATAACAACACCCTCACAACTTTCTCAGCGAGAGAAAGGAAAACAAAAAAGTAAACAAACAAACAAAAAACAAGCACAGAGAGAGAGAGAGAAAAAAACCCCATCAAGCATGAGATGAGGCAGATGGAGAGGGCCCATCGCAAGGCAAACGTAAATACTGCAAATGTGCTTTCTCAAATTGAGGGTGGTGAGGCTGGAGGGAAGAGGGGAGGGCTAGCAGCGGAAGGACGTATGGGAGCAGAACGGAACAACTGGACGAACATAAGAGGTAGCTTTTAGAAAACAACACCCCACCCAACACAATTAAAACCAAGGCTGAGTCCATCCCTCCCCCCTCCCACATGCACACACACATACACACTACCAGCCATGGAAAAAAAATATATATACACATAACAATTTTGGCGATGCTGACACACACAAGGATCGCACGGTTGCAAGGATGTGAGTAACACAGGCCTCCATCCAGCCGAGAGGAGCCAGCAAATTCTAAGAACTTAGGAAGGCAGGGGATGGTTTGTTTTTGTTTGTTTGTTTCTTCCAGAGTATTTCAGGCCACACGGACACTGGATACAGAGGATTCCAGCCCTGGGCAGAGCCTGCAGTGACTCTTGAGTGGTCTGTGGGGACAGAGACCCCCATCACCACCCTCCTCATCACCCACCCATCCCCTTCGCCTGCTTGCCTACTTCTCTCAACCAGTGCCAAGCATTCAGCTCCCGGGCAGTCAACTCCTGTGCAACTCTGGTGTGTTTTCGAGCTGAGAGGCTGCTTCCCAGGCCGTGGGGGCAGCCTTGGTCAGCTGAAGTCTAAAGCCAACTATTAGTTTACACAAGAATGGGAAAAAACACAATAATAAAACCATTCTCCTTATGCCTCCAGCCCTACTCCTCCCAATCTAAAGAAGACATATAGGGGGTTAAAAAAAAAAGGTCATGAGGTCTCACACACACACACACACACACACACATATACACACACACACACACACACATACATAACTGAGGTAATTCAAGTACAATGTGCTAACAGGGGACACAGAAACGAAGCAAAACAGAACACGAGGCCAAAGCACTCCTTTCCTCCTCCCCCTCCTGCCTGTGTGTGGACTGTGAGCCAGGAATTCTGTGCTATTGTCTGGACCTAGGTTCACCCCCATCTCACCACACATCCACCCACACCCACCCACACATACACACAAACAGAGCTCACTGGGCCTGGGGTCCCCAGGGCCCTGGGCTTTCAAGGGCTCTGTGCCCAGTAGCAATTTCCTCCCCTGCTCCTCACTCCTCCCCTGGGCAGGGCATTTTGTTCCCTCCTGCAGGTGCAGGCCTCTCTGGAGGAGATGGCCTCTCCTTCTCAGGTCCTTCTAATAGGACACGGGGACTCTGAAAATGGGAGTTCTAGGGATGTATGTTTTTGACATGGAGGACATATTTAGTTCTTGTACATACATACATACACATATATATATATTTCCATTTTGGAAGCAAAAGCAGCTCAGCAGGAATCCAGCTTGTGATGTGTGAGGACTCGGGCAGGGAGTTGGGCTTATTTTGTTCTCTGTTCTCAGAAGGCTAAGTTGAGAGGAAGAAGGGCCAGGTCCAGCTTTCCCCACAAAGGACCAGAGGACGGAAGTGCTGTCAGATCCACGAGGGACGGGAGTCTGCAGGGACTGGCTGGACAAGCAGTCAGGCAGGAGCAAGGAAGTCAGGGAGGGGAAAGGCTCTGGGAGATCCTGAGGGGACAGCCATCTGTAGCAGGGCAGGGCGGAGAAAGCAATGAACCAACCCATGGTGGAAAGAGAGAGAGCCTTTCCCCTCCCATTTTGCCCCCCCCCCCCCTAGCAAACCAGAGCTGCCATTTTTGAATATCAACCAGGGATCTTCCACCATCTGTAGCTCCTCTCTCCATCTTTTGAGGAGACAGAGAGAGAGAGACAGAGAGACAGAGAGATAGAGAGACAGAGAGACAGAGAGAGACAGAGAGAGAGACAGAGAGAGAGAGACAGAGAGAGAGAGACAGAGAGACGGGGGGGAGGGACAGGCAAACTATGGCTCTGATCAGAGTGCCTTTCACCTACTGTCCATTTCTGGACACAAAAGAAGGGTCTGAGTAGAGGGAGAAGAAAAATACGCCACCATGTGAATGAACAAAAACCTTACTGGCCTCACCCAAGAAAATCAGGAGAGGAGTGACTTGGCAGCCAGAATCCCCGGAAGCCACAGAGAGAATTCAAAGCCAAACAGCTATCAGGTTTCCTTCCCCATGTCCCTCCCTCTCTCTCCCTCTCTCTCTCTCCCCCCCTCTCTCTCCCCCTTATTCCCCTTTTTTCTTTAAATCTCTTTGCACAGTCCTTCCTCCACTTCATCTTGCTCTAGCTCATCTTGCTGGCTTCCCACGCTGCTCCCCCGTGCTTGGCACCCCTTCACACATAGCACAGGTACAGGTAAGTCTTCTCTATCCTCCAGTCGGGCGGGATCTCCTCAGGCTTGTGGCCCTTCATGTGCTTCTGCATGGAGGAGAGGCTGGGGCAGTACTCAGTGCAGATGGTGCACTGGTAGGGCGAGGCTCCGTTGTGTGTTCTCAGGTGCTTGATCATCGCTGAGTAGTCCCGGGACCGCTGGTGGCACAACTTGCATTCAAAGGGTTTCTCACCTGGAAAGAGTGGGTAACACAGGGCAGGACACAGTGAGGAAGGAGGGGAGGGACCACAGTCCTTATTGCCGCCCTTGGGCTTGTGGGAAAATCTCGGTCCTCTTAGCTCAGCATTCCCCAAACATCCTAAGATGATGGACCCAGCCATCCAATATGGCGGCCACTGGGCACACACAGCTACTGTAGTGCCTACCGCAACAGAGCTCTATACCTTTTATTTACCTATTTACTTTTGCTTTATTTTATTGCGATTACTGTAAACAGCCTAATTTAGCTAGCGAGTATGGACTGACCTTGTTATTCCTAACTCTTCCAAAGACTGGTCCTGTGTGGTAGGGAAATTTGGGAAGTCCTTGGGAAAGTTCTTCAAAACACAGTTCATACAGGGTGGCTGGGAGGGGGCATGGAGCCCTTCAGAGTTTCAGTTGGTGGTGGGTACAGGTTAGGGAAATCCAAGGAACCCAGTCTTCTAAACATGTGACATCTGGAGATCTCTCTAGATCTCTATGACCGTAGCTATATAGCTATGCCTTCCTTCCCCCCTTGGGACAGAATGGGGAAGAGCCTAGTCTGCTACCTGGACTTGTCCTTCACTCAAGTACTCCAGAGCTGAGCAGAGGATGGGAGGGAACCTTGTTTCAATACAGTAATTAACTGGCCAGCCATCTCGCTATCGATACTCCTCCGTGCAGAGGCCCCGGCAAATAATGAAGTAATGAACAGCCAAAGTGATCTAACTATTGACCAGCTATTTACAATAGTCACTGCCAATGCCTTTAACGATCTGCCCGCCGGGTCCCACCCCCAACAAGGGGCTAAGGAAACCCCAGGCCTCTGGGAAATCCATTGGGTCACTCAGGTTTGTCAGCAATAAGCACCCATCCCCTCCCTGGGCTCCAAGCTGGGGGCAGGAAAACAGAGCTCTGACAATCAGGAGCTCTACCTCCTAATCCTATCCCCATGGCAGGAAGCTAAGCAGGACTGTCTGAGCTCACCTCTTCTTCCTCTGCACAGCGCTGTCTCCCCTAATCAGAGAAGGTTCTCTAGTCTGCTGGGTTCCTCTCATGTTCAGAGGAAAATCCGACCTTCTGGGTCCTTCCATAGATCTATCACCCCACCAACTGACAGTGTGCTGATGGGTGAGTTCTCCAAAAACGCATCACTGGTACTGCTATGATGTGAATAATCCCACCATGGTGGATTTTATTTTTTTGTCCGTCATGGGGCTTGAACTCTGGGCCTGAGCGCTGTCCCTCAGCTCTTCAGCTCAAGGATAGCGCTCTACCACTTGAGCTACAGCACCATTTCCATTAATCCCATCATAGTGGATTTTAGAAAACCAAGGAGATGCCACTGAACTTGCAACCAGGAAGAAATAGCTCTAGAAAGCAATTCCAAGACTCTTCTACCACCCCCCCCCCCCAAATTCTAGAAGCCTGGCCCCTAGGGAAAGGAGTTGTTCACATTTCTTTTATGTAAAAAGGAGTGGGAAGGCACTAGAAATGATCTGCATTTATGTGGAGAGAATACTAAATATATCTCAGAACTAAGCTCCTAGCTTCACGATTTTCTGACCCTCACCACAACTTAATTCGATATACTATGATTCGTAGTCTAAGTCCCAAACAACACGGGACAACTCTAATCCTCACTTTCTGTTAGTCTGGTCAACCTGAGGGACTCATGAATCGATATCATCTGAACTCTTCATTGATGTGGCTGCCTCAGGGACTGCCCACATTCTGATCTCATGGGACAATATGCTGAGATTGATCTGTAATGTCTGCCTTGGCCTTGGGACTGGGTGGTAGAATTCAGGCCACCATATCTGCTCTTAGCAGAGCTGCTTCTTTTTGGGTTCTGCTTTGGACCAGCGTCACCTGGGCTGCTTCCACCTCCCCAGTCCCATCCGGGTCCCCTCACTGGTGTTCGGTTGGTACCTGTGTGCACCCTGTAGTGTGTCTCCAGCTGGTGCTTGAGGCTGAACTTCTTGCCACAGCCATTGCATTCGTAGGGCTTCTCCCCAGTGTGGATGCGCTTGTGGCTCTTCAGTGTGCTCTCATCCCGGAAGCAGCTGCCACAGAACTCACACTCATACGGGTGGTCACCTAGGGGACAAGGGGTTGGGTCAGGCCCTCACCTCTCCCTGTCCCCTCTTTAAGAGGACAGCAGGGCACAGTTGGTGCACCTGCGGGAGTTCGAGGCTGCCTATGTTTAACCACCTCCAAAGATGACTTCAGATCCTTTCCCCATAACGCGAATGTCCACACTTTACTGCAGTCCCGGGGTCATCCACGGGGTAATGGCCAGTCCCAGCTGGCTTAGTGATGAACACCGGTCTTCAGGAAGCACGCCCTCTGAGGGTAGAACAGGCCTGGGAGTTCTGAGACTTTGCCTACTGCCTTCTCTAACTACTGCGTAAGTGCTACTCCAGCCTGATCACTGTACCCTCAAAACACTTCTCTACCTCTCATCGTGCCCCCAAACATTCCTACTCCTTCCTTCCTCTATTGTTCAATATTGTTATTGCCTGTTTGGTTTCCTTCCCTCTGCCACCCCCCTCCCCTGCCTCCCACTCATGAACTCCAAATTATTCTTCAAAGCCGAGCTCCTATATCCCTGACCAGGACATTTTCTCTTAGCCTTCTAGCCTGAAGAAATCATATTCTTTTTCTTTCTCTTTTTCTTTTATTTGTGTGCCATTATTAGGACTTGAACTCAGGACATCACGCTCTCTCTTGACTTTTTTGCTCAAGGTGGGTGCTCTACCACCATTTGACACACAGCTCTACTTCTGGCTTTTTGCTAGCCAGAACAGTCTCAAAGACTTCTGCCTGGGTGGCTTTAAACCTCAATCCGTGGATCTCAGCCTTCTGTAGCTAGGATTACAGGCATGAGCCATCAGCACCCAGCTCACACTTTCTTCTTTAGAGTACTTTTCCCATTAAAATGGGCCCTACATGCTGAGGGCTCACTGCTGTGCTAAGAATACACCATGTAATCATAAAAACCACCTGAAAGACATGATTCTCATTGAACAGATGACAAAAATGGAGCTGCTTGGAAATGCTTAAGTCTGGTCCCCCAAGTCACATAGCTAGCTAAGTAGCTGAGCTGGGATTCAAGTTCTAGTCTGGTTCCACATTGGATCACCGAATGACATGCTATACTGCACTGACTGGTGTGGCACCCACAGCTCTAAAATGGAAGCATCTGGTAGGTAAGAAGTGAGCCTTATCTATCCTGATAGCCCCAGTGTTCAGTCTTCAAGAGTGACTTCAAAGATATGCCCAGCGAATGCTGGGAATGTTAAGCTTGGGGTGAATTGCCCTTCCTCAGTCTGCAATCTATGCCTGTTACATCTCTTTTTTTGAGGGTGCTCCACTCTTGAATTTCAGGAGGGTGGGAGGGTAGGATGTGGGGTTCACCATCTTGCATTCGGTACCCAAAGCGAGGGGCGTGAGAGGCGCAAGGTGAGGACTCCAGCTACTTATTTATTACAGGAGTGAAGGCGCAGACAATAAAGATAGATTGATCACCCCAGACTTTGTTCATGAATATTTAAATATCGCTGATTCGTCTTGTCACTGTAATTACAATTTCTCTGGGCTGCATCTCCAACAACCACAGTTTATGGTAAAGAATAGCCCACTGTATTTCACTTGTCCCTCTGCAGATGTGCGGGGCTGCCAACCGTGTAATGTCCTCCGCATTTCATACATTTTCTTCAGCTGCTGAAGGTTTAAGTCATCCACAATGACCTACGTTTTTTCATTATCCCCATGTCAAACTGTGCTCGTGCCTGGGCATAAATTGTCCTTCTCCTTATAGACTCGCATGCCTGTGCCTTCACTTCCTCTTTAAAATGATATTTTACTCTCTCTTCTTTCTCTCTCTCCTCCGCAGGCCACTAACCATACCTCCCCCCTTCCTGAATGCAAGCCCTGGACCCACATAAATCCTCATCTCCTCTGATGGCTCTGAAGGGTTTTTAAGGCTCTGTGGGGAGTGGATGCTGGGGTCTGTTCACTGGCAGCCTCTCTCAGGGGTGGAAGATTTGCAAATAGCACTGAGAGCAAAATGGGGTCTATCAAGGAAACTCAAAGAACAGAGCCCACCTCTCCATCCAGTGCATACCAACCCGCAGGGCAGCCTGCTCAGAGGTACGGCTGGTCAGTGGGGGTGCTCATGGGCCATCTGGGCATAGACTGAATCCTGGAGTTCTGGGTTGGGGAAATCACTGCCTGCCCATCCTACTGCCGGGGCCATGTGGAATCCTTGTTCTCCAGCCCCACTGAGCCCAGGGGAAGTGAGGCCCCTGCAGATAGACCCTGGTACTAATTGGCTGAGGGTATGTGTGTGTGTGTGTGTGTGTGTGTGTGTGTGTGTGTGTGTGTGTGTGCGTGCGTGCACATGTGTTTGCATGCCACTCACTCGTGTGTGTGTGTGTGTGTGTGTGTGTGTGTGCACATGGCCCTGTCTGGTCTGACATCTAATTCCGTCTCCCTCCCCCCCCCCCCCCACACCAAATCAGCAACGATTACGACTTTAATCAAAGATTCAGTATCCTCATTAAGATATAAATAAATAAATAAAGCAAGGGCCATGTGAGATTTCAGCCAGAGCTGGTAATTAAAACGTACATCAGCAGCCACCCTGCCCCTGGGGAGGCCATGGGAGTGGGGGGGGGGGGGTGAGGATGACAGCCTGTGTGTGTTTTTCACCTCCAGAGGGGGCCCTAAGAGTTTACCAAACAACAGAGGGGTTTGTTTGATCAAATTTTTTTTATGAATTTAATTATAAAGTAGATCACAACATGTTAAATGAGTTTAAATAGGCACTCTCTTGAGTCTGACCAGGGAAAGGAATAAAAAGGACTTGGGAAAAGAAAAAAGAAGAAGGAAAATGACAAGTCACCCCCCCCCCCACCCACATTTTGCAGTCAGATAATCACCCAGCCTGCAACCCTCACCCCGAAAGCTAATCGTGCCAGTGTGGTCATAATGTACACAAAACTGGCGGCAGGACTCAAAATCCAATTTGTGGTATGTTGATTAACTCTGTAGACTCGTTAATGAGCTTGACATTAAGTGCAGGACAAACGAGACTAATTAGAGCCCCTCTGGCCTGCCCAGTGCACCTGTGACCCCTTCTTCCCCCCTTCTTCTATCATTACCTGGTGGCTTCCCTGGCTTTGGCCAAGCCTAGTGTCTCTACCCCCAATTCAGCCCCAGCCCCATCGCTCCTGGACCCTCCCTCTCGGCCCCTCCCTTCAGTGCAGCTGAGAGTTTATTATATGATGAGCCGTGTGAATCAGGGATCCATCAATGCCAAGAACACGGCTGGACAAACCTACCAAACACAGCTGCTGTGCTAAATGCCTGGCCCCAGTAGCAAATGGGCCAAGAACAACAGAATATTAATGAGGTATTGTGCGTGTTTATGTATGTGTGTGTGTATGGGGGGGGGCAGTTCAAGGTCTGTGTGTGTGTGTGTGTGTGTGTGTGTGTCTGTGTGTCTTATGTGGTACACATTCAATCTGTTCCCTAGAATCAGCAAAGGCTTCCCTCAATTTCTATCCCTCCCCACAGATCTTTGCCAGTAATTGACACCAAGAAGACCAATATGAACATACAGATGTTCAGGTCTTAGATGTTCAGGTCTTAGAAGAGGATGGGGAACCTATTCTGGGTAGACTTAGTTGGACTACAGTAATTCAAGTCACCTGAGGCCAAGTGACTTGACCAGGGGCTGCAAGGTACCTGGCTGTCTTTCATACGGTAGAGTGGGGGACCCACGGAGGCAGGGAGGTGTCCACAGCTGTCGGGAGGTCCTTATGAGTAAGTCACCATGGACAAGGTTCTGGCTCTCTCTCTCTCTTGTTGGGCACTACTTTTTGGGCCTGCCCCTCTCCCTCCAGCAATCCCAGGCAGAGTTCTAAGTACCTGGTGATCAGTTCACACCTGCTGCTATGAGCCAAAGATGCTCCTCTGAGTAGGACAGAAATGCAAGTCCAGACAGGCTGTTGGATGAGGAGACCTTGTGCCAGCCAGCCATAACAGCAAAGCCCTCTCCTCCTTCAGAAAAGTCTATCACCCACGTTGGGTTTGGCTTCATCCTTGATCTCAGCTGTGACAGGACTCTTGAGAATGAGGACAGACAGAGAGTCCTGCGACTGAGCCCTCTGCAAGGCATGCTAAGGAGTCTCTACCCTCCCACATCATAGTGAGTCACCTGATCACACCTGTCTCCTAGAACCAGGATGGAAGACACACACACACACACACACACACACACACACACACACACACACACACACACACACACACAGAGAAACACGTGCAGATTCAAAAATGGACATTCATTTACCCAACTGCAGTTGGAGAAGATCCCCATCTCCTTTAAGGAGAAAGAAGATATTTAAGTCCTCTATTCTCCTGCCAGAAGACTGCAGTAGGGAAGCAACTGCTTCTTGGCCCTCGAGTGTCCCATCTCCTAAATATAGAGGTCGGTGGCAGTGATGGGTCATTGTCTGGGCACCTGGCCCAGTCTCCTTGACTCACACCCTGCCTCTTACCCCACCCGTGGGTGAGTATCTCATGTCTCATTGTTTAAATACAACATAGAGGCCTTCTGGTATTATGGAGAAGAGTACAATTTTTTTAAATTCTGGGTGGCTCTTGGGATTGAACTCAGGGCCTCACGCTTATTAGGCAAATATTCCCTCAGCAAATCTTAATACCCCCAGACCTTTTTCTTTTTTTCCTTCCCTCCTTCCTTCCTTTTTTGCCTGAGTTTACTTTTCAGATTGGGTCTTGCATTTTTGCACAGGCCACCCTGGACCATGGTCCTCTTATTTCTACCATCTACATAGCTGGAATTACAAGTGGGTATGGTTACACCCAGCCTGTTTTCCCAGGTCTTGTTAACTTTTGCCCCAGCTAGCTTCTGATTTCAATCCTCCTATCTCTGCCTCCCAAGTAGCTAGGATCGGAGAATGGTTTTAATGTACCTTCCAGGGTCCTAAGATGATTTGGACATCACACATGGGGTTATAGAAAGGGCAGTGAGAACGGTGAGAACGATGGCAGCATTAGAGACCTACTAGCAGGTCACTTGTTGTCAAAATGCATCCTGGTCTGTCTGCCTCAGAAGCTCTAGAGAGTACTTGCTAGTTATGCTGAGTTTTGGATCCTACTCTGGACCACCGAACCTGTTTCTGAGTGGGACTCACTTAAGTGAACATCCTGACCTGTGTTGGATGTGTGGGATAGGGAGAATGGTCAACAGTGGCTGGGATTACAGGAAGAACCTATGTATCCAACCCAAGAGCCCAGAAAGGCTGAAGGCACCTGAGCCCGGTGCATGCACCTTACATCTCTGGAGATGAAGTCTAGACGTGGGCTCCCAGAATGCCTCATCCACCCATCACCCGAAGGCCTCCCTACCTGTGTGCGAGCGCAGGTGGCGTTTGAGAGCCGTGTGGCTGGGGAAGGTGCGGTTGCACTCACTGCAGATGTAGCTGCGCACGCCCGCGTGGACTTCCATGTGCTGCTGGAGCGCGCTCTGTGCCTGGAAACGTTTCCCACACAGCAGACAGAAGACGGCCATGTCCGTGCCTGCAGAGACAGCAGCACAAGGTGCTCAGGAGGGTGGACACACCAAGTTGAGGTTCCCATCTCTTTAGCTACAGTAGGAGCCAGCCTGAGACCAGCAGCCTCCACCCCCAGTAGGAAGTCTGGGTGGTACCAAGTGTGGGCACTTATACCCCATGCAGAGTGTGTGTGGGGGCACATGGAAGGTAGTCATCCAGAAGCAGGGACAGCGAGACCTTCAGGGCTGGTCCAGCCTGGCTGACACGCACAGGAGTGATGTCTATGTGAACATCTCCTGTGACACAGCAGCCCTGGCTGATTCAACCTGAAGATTTCCACCAGCACCAGCGCCTTCTCTACCCATATCTCCCACCCCCAGAGTGCACTGAGTAGGCCAGGTGTGCAGACAGCTGCCTTCAGACAGAGCTGGCCCAGGGCAAACCACGGATGGCCTTTTCAAGCCCAGGCTTCTCCATGCGCCTGCTTTGTGATCCTCAGAATAGACACATGGGGATCCAGGGGCCATGGATGGAGCCCCAGCAGGATTTCCCAAGCTTACACACACCCCTCAGCCCAGAGGGGCTCTGGTCCCACCCCACAGGGCAGACCCAGACATCTTTAGTACTCTACCCTCTCGTTCTGCCCAAGTCACCTTCCAAAGGATGGATAAGACTGTGTGACTCTAAGGAAAATTAAGAAATAAAGCCAAAGATGGGAGGTGAGGCACACGCACTAGGCTAAAGAAACACTTGCAGGCCAATTTCAGAGCAGGTGACACGGAGGACAGGCCCAGTGATGGAGAAGAGCCAGGAAAACTGATCAGGTCATGGAGTTCTATGGATGCCAGTGAGAACGGCTCAGATGCCATTGAACTGGCAATGCAGGGTCACAGGACTGGTTGCTATGGGCAGCAGGTTTGTGTCCTCCTCAACATGAAGGTGTTGAAAACCCAACTATCAAGGTGATGGTGACAGGAGGCGGGGACTCTGGAAGGTCATCAGAATGGAGCCCTCAGGATGAAACTTGTGCCCTTATTAATAGGAGCTCAGGGGATGAGTCAGCCTCCACCACAGGAAGATACTGTCTGAAGTCAACAATCTGCAACCAGAAAAAGACCCTCACCAGAACCCAGCCATACCAGCACCAGGATCTCGATCAGAGACAAGTTTCTGTATCATCCCTCACCCAGTCTATGGTGATAGGCTATAGTAGCTCAGACTGGGGGGTGCTAGCATGGAGGGCAGCACACAACACAGAACGATATCAGGGACAAAGGACCAGAAGAGGCAAAGGAGCTGATGGCGCTGGTGCTACCACCAAACCAAGGCAGGGACTTTGAAAACAGAAGGGAGGAGTGAAGAAATAAAATTCCTAGATGGCAGCTCCACAAGACCTGGGTTCAAGTAAGAAAGAGCGGTACTCGAGTCCCAGTCAGTCCAGTCTGCACCTTGTCAACAGGCTGAAGGCTATGTGGTCACCAGCTAGAAAGGAAATGCTACAGTGTCCACCCATAGTTTCTTGTCTACAGACACCACACAAGGCACAGGGGGTCTCCCTAGCTATCTATCCATCAATCAAGGCTCAGAGGGGATGGGAAGGAAGCTTGGAGGCCTTCTAGCCCCATTCCCCATTCTTTTATTAGGAAGAACATAGGATAATAGGAAAGGATTATTAAACAAGAGGAAAAAAAAAACCAGGGAAGTGTTGGGGGTGGGGAGAGAGTAGATGAGACACAAGAGAAGCTACTGGTGCATGCAACTTAAAAATCTCAAGACTAGATTTGAGTTATTAAACAATTTGCTGTCGTTTCTGCCTAGCTGATTGTTCGCATGTATGATGAGTCAGGGAAGATTCTATTACACTGGGAGATTAAGCAAATAAATGCTAGCTTTTGGAAACACATTAAAATGTGAGGCTATGGAAATAAAATTATCTAGAAAATTGTATTAGCAATTCATTAGCTGCAGTAAGATGTGCAGAGCGACAAGGGACCGGCAGCATTAGAGCACTCTGCTCTCTTTAACGCCTGGCCTAAGTTCTGCTCTCTCCTTTAGGGACCTCAGGGCTGGTTCCCCTAGGGAAGGGGAGCTTGACTGCAGATAGCAAACGATCAAGCCAGGTGCCAGCAGCTCACACTGGTCATCCTAGCTCCTCAGGAAGCTGAGACCTGAGGACCGCCATTCTAATCTAGCCCAGGCAAGACCTTGAGACTCTATCTTCAGTGAACCAGAGAAAAGGCCAAAAGTAGAGGTGTGGCTCAGGTGGCAGAGGATCAGTCTTGATCAAAAAAGCTAAGGGAATGGTGTCCAGGTCTTGAGTTCAAGCCTGTAATCCCAGAAGGTAAAGAGGAGGAGAATATCAGCTCAAAGCTATCCTGGACAAAGTTAATAAAACCCCAGCCCAACCAATAAGAACTGTCATCTGAGGCTGGCCCTAGGCAAAAATTCAAGACCCTATTCCAAAAAACAGCCAAAGAAAAAAAAGGGTTAGGAGCATGGCTCAAGTGGTAGAATGCCTTCTTACCTATTGAGTACAAGGAACTGTGTTCAAATATCAATACTAAGGGGGGAAAACCCTCCAATATTTTTTTTAAAAGGACCCAGGGAGGAAGAGGAAGCAGAGGGTCCTAACTTCATGCCTTGTAGCATGAAGTAAGTCATTTAACTTTCTTGGTCCAGAGTGTGTCCATCAAAAATGGTGGACAACAATGGTGATTGTTGAGATTAAATAAAGATACTTGATAGAAAAGCTTCATAACCATGAGGTGGTTACAGGGCCAATATTAGCTCTCTCAATCAGCAGGTGCTGGTCCTCATTTGTGGCCAGTAAAAAGAGCTCTGGATTGCAGTGTCCATTTCTCCCTTAGCTGGACACCCGGGTGCAGTGTATAGCCGGAACATGAACCATAGCAGCCCTGCACAATTATCCAACCCTAAGTTGTCGGTTTTTTAAAAAGTATATTTTTATTGTAAAAATACTGTACAGAGGGGTTACAGTTACATGAGTAAGGTAATGAGTACATTTCCTATCAAGCATTATTACCCCGTCCTTTGTTTTTCCCCTACCACCCCTTCCCTCCCCACCCATCATGTTGTAAAGTTCGTTTTCAATATAGTGTCATACATCTCATTGTTACAGTGGGTCACCCTGTATCCGTATTTCAACGTTTTGTTATTTTATGGACTTTGGGTTGCTTCTTCCGGGAAGCTAGCCCTGGCGAAAGCATCCTGGATGAGTTACACCATTTAGAATTCAGTGCCAAAGACATCATCATCTTCTTCTGAGTTCTCACTGTTGTAATGCATAAAACCTTTATGGCTTTTCTTTTCTGACATTCAGAGATTGTGAGGCTCCTACGTGATTATAAGCCTCCCTAGCAGGAACTGTCATTTTTATGCCCTCCCCCCACATACAGCAAGAGGCCTAATGCAGATAGGCACCCCCAAAACACTTGTTAATTGGAAAATAAAGGGCCACGGAACAATCACAAAGGGGGGGGGGAATTGTGGTGGAGCCACAGTACAGAGACAGACCAAAGTCCACAAAGGAGGACTTCATGGAGCTCTTCCCACAACTTCCCTAGTGGTGCGTAGGCAGCTGGTCTCACTGGGGCCTTTGCTCATCTGCTGTGTGACTGATGACCTAGACAGAATACAGCTACTGGGTTCTGCTGCTCAGACCATAGGAAGACCAGTTCCACCTCTCCCTGCAGCAGAGCTAACTGAGAATTCCATTCGTGGCTTTGGTATACTGGGACAGAGAGGGGCATGCCTGCATGCGTGCATGTGGTGCTGGACTATTGAACTCAGGGCTTCATGCTTGATAAGCGAGTGCTCTAGCCCTTCAGCTACACCCTCAATCCCTTTTGTGCTTTAGTTGTTTTTCATATCTGAAAGGGTCTAGCAGCACCTTTGCCCAGGATTGACCTGTAACACCATCCTTCTAGCTGTGGTCATCCATATAGCTGGGATTATATGCATAACATCTTGCTTATTGACTGAAATGTGGGCCTTAATTGAGTATTTTGTCCAGGCTGGCCTAGAATCATGATCTTTTTTGTCTCCCAAGTAGCTGGGATTACAGGCATGAGCCACTCAGCCCCATATGCAGCTCTACCCTTGCTATGGATGGGATCTAGAATGTATCCTTGAAGACCCACCTGTTAAACGCTTAGTCCTAGCTTGGGATGATTGAGAGGCAGTGAAAACTTTAAGGGATAGGGCCTAGAGGGGAGGCGGTTAGGACACTGGAGGCATTCCCTAAGAAGATACCCTTAAGGGCACTTGAAGGGCACTCAGTCCCTCCAGGCCCGCTCTCAGTAACTTCCCAGCCACGAAGCAGCCAGCACTGCCCCATTTTGTGTTCCTCCTCGCGAGGTGCCCTCTCACCCACAGGTAACACGGCCAACTGATTATGGACTAGAACTTCCAAAATAGCCCAAACAAACCTGTTCACAAGCTGATTATCTCAAGAGCGTGTTACAGAAAGCTGACCAGCAGACTTCAATCTCAGTTTCTTTACTGAGAACCTAGAATCCATAACTAACTCGATACTGACTTCTTGGTGTGGCAATACAGCTACTGATTATAAATATGAATTGTGCTGGTCCTAGGGCTTGAATTCAGGGCTTGAGTGTGCTGTCCTTAAGATTCTTATTCTCAAAGATTGCCACTCTACCACTTGATCCACAGTGCGACTTCCAGTTTTCTGGTGGTTAATTGGAGAGAAGAGTCTCATGGATGTTCCTGCCCAGGCTGGCTTTGAACCGTGATCCTCAGATCTCAGCCTCCTGCGTAGCTAGGATTACAGGCGTGAGCCGCCAGCGCCCGGCTCTGATCCTGTATTTTTCAGGACAGAAATCCTACACACATATTAAAATGTTTTCTACTGATCTGTATACTCTGATGTAAATCAGATATAAAAATCAGCCTCTGCCCAAGGAATTAATTCACCAGGCCCAGCAACCAGAATGTTCTCTACTCTTCTAGAAAATGAGTCTTTCTCTGGTTTGCCAGGACATTTGC